ACTGATGTTGAAACCGATTGTCAGAAGACGAGCGTAAGGCTCAACGCACTTTGAATCAAATTCATTCCCCAAAACGAAAAGTAAACAAGCAAGCTAATAAAAGCAAGCTACTCAAGAAAATTCCTCATTCCAGAAAAGAAGAACACAAAAAGCCTTAAAAACTCCCCACGCTCCATCTTAGCGTTAAACCATCCATTTATTTACCCCAGCTCAGAATCCGCAACACAACCACTTAATAAGGACTGTTAACCACATCTTCCCTCCCCAACTTGTATCTTCCACTATTGCTACCTCCAATTCTCGCACTATCTCTTCTACCATTGCTCCATCCAACTTTATGTGGCGTTGCAATACTTTCTCTTGTTGGCTTCTTGAAGGTTTGCTTCGCTACCATATTCACTTCATTTGGCAATGCCACAATAACATTCTTATCACTACCGTATTTGAAATTATCCGCCTTGACTTCTTCAGCATAACGTTTAATACTATAAGTATCCTTGCTGCCTCTCAAGATCTTCTTCATATTCCACGTTACGATGAAAGGACCAGTGGCGGTAATGATAGATGTTTCGGTGAGCCCCTCTCCGGTATTGAAGCGAGCTGGGGTGAAAGAAAGAGGAACACCAGTTTCATGTTGGAATTGGGCGACGTGAGCTGGTGTAAGACCAAGACGACGTGGTTGAGGTTTCGAGTCTTTACCGAAAGATTTTTCAAATCCGAGTTTGCCTTCATTCTTACCATCTTTTTGAAGGGCATCAATGAGAAGAAGATAAGTACGACAAGTAGCCAAAACCCAACGACCATCGGCACTAACATCTAGACCAATGATAGGTTCACCAAGAGCTGGAATGTGAGTCTTCGCGTTGATGCCAAGACGATCGAACATACGGATGTCACCCTTGTTACTAGCGACGGCGATGTATCCCTTTTCTGTGGTAGCAGCAGCGGAGAAATCATTTTTAGAAACGTATTGTTTGAGTTCAGAATCGACAAGTTTGTTGCCTGCAAGACGAGGATCGATACGATAAAGAGCATTTCGAGAAAGACCAAGGAAAGTCTGCTCGCCTGTCATTTGAGAGAATTTGCTTTCGGGTGCAAAGGTGTTGACAGGAATATCATCATGAACTTTCCATTCATCAACAATCTTTCCATACTCCAAATCCATCCTGTAAAGCGAATTTGGATTATTTCCATCTTGAAGAATCATGTTCGTATCCTCAGCGTGAAGCATAACTTTCTTTGGATTAAAGAGTTTGCCGTTTGGTGCTTGGACTTTTGAAATGTTGGTCGAGAACTCCAGATTGTTATTAGGTGTATGCTTGAAGACACCAATCTTAGATCCTCTAACAACAAACGATCGATCGTGTTTGTATCCAACCGCAAGTTGTGAATTAACATTTCCATCATCGTCTTTGGTGACAACATCATCATCTTCCTCATCAGAATCGTAATGTTCGCTTCTTTGTCCATCGTCTTGATCCTCGACTTCCTCTTCCTCTTCCTCTTCCTCTTCTTCCTCATCGCCCTCGACAAAATCTGGAGCGTCCTCCATAGTGAGATCCTGGAATGCCTCGAGAACATATTCTCTCTCATCTTCCTTACTCTTGTTCCACTTAATTTCATTCAATTGTTCCCACAAAGCTTGCATCAAACCTTCCTGGAATCTTGTCACTGTCTCTTGATCTTTGAATCGAAGAAGCCATGAATAAGCTTGATGATCGGCTGTGTAGGCGTTGAAAATGAAGGAGAGGTATTCGAAATTGAAAACTGGATTAATATCCGCAATCACAGCTTGACCCAACCAGTCTCTATCCTTGCTGCTAAGTTGTAACCAATATTGCCATTTTCCAACCTCGGTAACAGTCGCTGTAACCTCGTCATCTTGCTTCAAAAATGTTCCAGAAATGAAGTCGAATAAATGTAATTCGGCAGTTTCCTCTGCCAACACAGAAATAGCCTCAGGATGCTTAGCAACAGCTGGTGCCTTCGTTGGGCTCTTTTCAACCGGTGATGGACTTCTGGGTGGCGCCCTTGATCCTCTTGTAACTGGACTCATGGTTTCCTTTAATGCAGAATTTGCCGTACTTCTAGTAACTGCCTGATCGATAGCCGGGAACGATTGTACAGGACTCAAACTTATAGGGCTCGTAGGTGGACTAGCATGCGGAATTGGGTCTTCTTCTTCAAAGGCAAATTGACTCAACTCCTCCTCGGTCGCGGTCAAATACTTTCTCCTGAATTTTCTCTCAAATTGGCAATGAACAGCTGTAAGTTCAAATGACTGAACCTGACTATTCTCTATCGAAACGTCGCAAACAAATTCGTATAAATCGCCCGCGTCACCGCTCAAATCTCTCCAAGCAAGGACTTTCTCACCGCCTTCGCGAATTTCCGATCGAAAATGTAAACTTTCGTCTAGGAGGAATGTTTTCTCGTCGCGTTCCCCAGTCAAAGCTGCAGTGCCGTCTTCGTCGTCCGCAGCCTCGTCGTCCAATAATTCTTCTTCGCCTTCTTCGTAGGCTCTTTGAATCACAAGCTGATATTGAAAATCCTGACCTGTTCTTCTAATCCTCGCAGCTGCGTCGCGGAATATAAGTTCGGAGTATCCTTTGGGTGATAGGGGTCGAACGAGATAAAGTTGGCCTTGGGGTAGCTCGATCAAAGATTCTTTGGATGTATCACCAAAGATCAATTTACCGACTGTAGTATATGTTAGATGCTGTTCGCAAAAGAAGTTGTATTTTCAGTTTGCGCTTTGCTGATAAAAAGCTTGAATGAAGATCGAATGAGGGGTAAAGTGGAGGGGCGGACTATTTATTTACACACCATTTCTTAACATAAACATCCTGTTGTCTTCGTTTGCAATCAATAACGTGAGTCTTTAAACCCTATCCCTAAGCTCAAAAAGATGATGTAGTCACTATCAAAAGAAGGTGGTATTGAATCCAAATCTCAAAGAGAAGGGGAAAGTGTTTCTTATATTTTTTTAGTATCACAAGGCAAAAAGAACATGATGGTTGTAATAGGCAACCTCAAGCCGTATAGGTGCACAGCCTCGCCTTTAGTCTAGCGTGTGCATGTGACTTTCAACTATAGTATTTTGTATTCTACTAAGTAATTCTTTTTAAAACTAATTAAAAAAGAATCCATTCATTTTATTCAATTAGAAACACATAGACGCATTACATGATAGGTGCAGTCTTATTAGCTATAGATATCGTAGACTGAACCGATTATGAATTTGCTACTACTACTACTATTACCGGTACATATCGATTGCTTATAGCGTGTATATTGAGGCGTTCGTCACATGATAGGAAAAGAAGTCACTGTTAGAAGTCCTCGCCTATATAAACCAATTAAAAGATCGGAAGGAACAGAAATGGGGCCACATTAGCATTAGCCACATCAGAATTAACCATATTGGTATTAGCGGAACTCACTAAGTAGCCTTCAGCCCTATATTTCTTCCCTTGCTGTTTATTAATATTGTATGAACGTAGGTGAATGTCTCCAATTTAATAACTACCTACTGTATCAAGCTTTAAGCGAATACAAAAGAGACTAACTCTTCCAATAGTGCCTATAAGACCTACTACTTTTTATATATAGAATCTATAAATACATGAGTACTCCGTCTTTTATATCCTTCTCAAACCAATAGTTCACTATTAAAGAACTGAAATCCTGTTATACTTTTAACTCGCTCTCACTCTTACTCTTATAATTCTTTATACATCTATTCATTTATTTTCTAGGACTTTCTTTCCTGGGCAGTCTCACTAGAAACTTGATTTTGAAGTTTTGAGATAAATGACGCTCCGCTGGCCCTCCGGGGGCCACTGCCGTGGAGGCAGAGCAGACTATAGAAAGAAAACGAAGTTTCATATCAAATGAGTACTAGGTATTGGGACATACTCAACCTTTATTAGAGTGAGTACATGCTGAACCATTAAAATATTTCAAAAGTACCTAGTACGTATATATAATATAATACAACAGTTATAAATCTTCAAGCCCTCCCCAATATGCTCTTGCGAAACGAAGGAAAGCATCTATGGATAGGTACTCCTGCTGCTTCTTCTGCATGTCACGGTGGAGATGGAGATTAGACGAACTGTTTGTTTACCTACACAACGATATCATTACTTAACATAACCTCAACACCAGTACCCTATCTCTCTTCACATCAATAACAATATCGCGAAACCCATAACCAATCCTCTCCCCATGTATAATGAAAGTGTTCAACTCTACGGAGAAAAGAAACCATCTCACCATGAAACCCCAGATACCTAACTAGTAATTAATTTCAAGAAAGGAGAAAGATAACCCAGACAATTCCCAATTTCTTGCTCTACTCTCCATACAGTAAGGCAGAAACGTCATATCCATCCATGGATTCCAGGTCACAATTATGGCTGTGCAAGACACCTGCAGTCTTACCTAATTCCAACCTACCTACGTACTCGTAGTGCAAGGGTCTATCCATCCACACCTAGGTACCTACGCTCACTCTGGACGGAAAAACGGACACACCAAAGCCGCCAAAATCAAGACTTTCTTCAAAACACTATTAATTCAAAATTTAATAATAATTTGAAATAATATAGTAAACTAGATATAATAAAATGATATTATAGAATATCAACTTATAAATAATCTGCTTCAAATAAAAATTAGAAATATCGATTATTGATTTAAATAGATAATTTTGGAAATAATACTGTTTTTTCGGTGTGCCGTTTATTTCGTCCAGAGTGAGCTACGGAAAACTGCGTAACCTTACGGAGTGCACTGTCGAAACGAAAAACCCAAGCACCAACCAACCAATCACCCCCACCCACCCTCGGAACCGGAAAAACTCACCTTCCCCTCTCAAAATTATAATTAACTACGAATAATTAATTATACAATCCAGTCCAGTCCAGTCCAGTCCAGCACAATACAATCGATCAATTGAGCTCTCGCATCCCCCAATCCATCCACAAATACCCAAGATGCCCATCCAAAAAGCAGTCAAAGCAGCTGCCCACGCCTCGCGGCAAATAAACGCCGTCGTCGTATCGAGCGGTCTCATGGAAAAAACCGTCAAAGTAAGGATCGGTACGCAAGTATGGAATGAGCATTTGCAAAAGGTATTTCTTCCTCTTCCTCTTCCTCTTCCCCCTCTCTCCCCCCCTCTCACTCCCCTTCACAACCAACCAACCAACCAACCAAACTAACCCCCCTCCCAGAAATTCAACTCCAAAACCCACCTCCTCGTCCACGACCCCCGCTCCTCCCTCACAACCGGCGACATCATAACCATCACCCCAGGCCACCGCACCTCCAAAACCGTCCACCACGTCGTCTCCTCCATCATCGCCCCCTTCGGCCGTCCCATTTCCGAGCGTCCCCCCATCCCCACCGCCGAAGAACGCATGGCGGCCCGCGAGCGCAAACTAATGGCAAAGCATATTCGCAAGGGGAGTTGGAGTCGCTGGGGCTTTGAGCGCGATCCCAGGGGGATCGAGGGCAGTGAGTGGTTTGTGGAGGGCTTTGCCGAGGGGAAGAAGCCAAAGGATGAGGTGATTCAGGCAGAGGAGTCGGCGAATGGGAATGGGGAGGAACTAAGGCTTGTGTAGGTAGTGAAAAGGAAAATGGGTGGGGAGATGGGTGCATATGCACAATTTGGCGTTCAAGGTGTATCACATATCCGTGTGCAGGAAGTGTATGAAGATGGGATTGTATCATAAATATCATGTATAAAGAATGACATGGGAAATGAGCGCATCAAGTAATGTTTCTATGGAGTACGTTAAGGTATGTTTCGTAATGGCAATCAACCCAGCTTTTATCACACAGGACTCCATGCTCAAGACTCTGAACTCCCGATCCCGCCTATGCCCTCCAGCTATCAAGAACCTTTCCATGCACCTCCCGGATTCCTTAAACCCATGACCCTATTGTATACCGAGCCCCAAATCCATCCAAAAGCTAAAATATTGATACACCAAGTCATATACATATACACATGCCATTCAATTATTGCCTTGACCTTGACCTTGACACTAACCTTAACCTCCACGTTCACCAAACTCCCTTGCCCAATCCTCAAATTCTTGTAGTCCTTGCTTGCTTACACTGGGTCTAATATTGACCAAACTAGCTTGGAAGTCTTCAATTTGCATTGGTCGAATATCATCCATGGTCATTTCCAAAAGCTTTTCTCCGAGAGATCGTAGAGGTCCCATAGCCGCATCTTTGGCCAATGCCGTAATATCAGATCCCGAAAATCCTATTTATTGTTAAAGATATTCAACAACAAACTTAACAGAGCTTACCATCGGTCAATCTGACTAACTGATCAATATCATCTTCTTTCAACCCATGCTTTTGATGTCCCAACAAAGTATGCAATTGCTTGGCTCTAGTCTCATCCTCAGGTAGAGGAATATACTGCCTTCTCACGAATCTTCGTCTTGCAGCTTCGTCAATTGCCCAAGGCAAATTTGTTGCAGCAAGTACTAGTACTCGGCTAGCATCCCCCCTTTCCTTTTCCTTGTCTGTTTGTTCCCTACCAGCTGCAGCCCTTTGTAAATCACTCCACTGGATAAGGAATTCGGTCTTAATACGCCTTGTGGCTTCATGCTCTCCTCCAGATCGTGCAGAAAGAAGAGAGTCGATTTCATCGACGAATATGATACTTGGTGCCAGTGCTTTTGCAAGAGAAAACAATGCTCGGACAAGTTTTTCGGACTCACCCAAGAATTTGCTTGTCAAACTACTAGCTGAGATGGAGAAGAAAGTGGACTTCGACTCGGTGGCGACCGCTCTTGCTAACATAGTTTTACCAGTACCTGGGGGACCAAATAATAGCATACCACGAGCTGGTTCGCGAAGGCCCATAAACAGATCCGGTCGTAGGAAAGGATAAACAACGGCTTCTTTGAGCGCATTCTTGGCAACATCCAGACCAGCAACATCATCCCAGTGTACCTCATCACCTTGAACTACAATCTCATTAAAAATCTGTTTAGCAGCCCCTTCATCAACCCCTTTTGGCAAATTCTTCATGAGATGTTTCACTTTCTCCTCCCATACACTCTTGACCCTATCCGTGGCAGAGTCATTAGACTCTTCAGACGTTGGGGTTGTAGGATCGACAAGTATTGGCGATACCACCTGCTTTTGCTTCCTTTTAGGCCGAGTTCGCAATTCTTCATTACTGGTATCATCATTCGCACTCTGAGACGAAGTATCATCTCCGTGTACTCGCCTAAGTTCCTTCCCTCGTGACTTTTTGTTATCATCTATACGTCTTGGTGAGGAAGTGTTCGCAGATACTGGTTTTCTTTGTAAGCGATTTGATGTTGAAAGTTCGGCGTTCGAATCTACTCTGGGAGCTGGTCTCCTACGTTGAGGTACCGGTAGGTTGTCTGGGTTGCCTTTCTTGGCAATTGTATCAGGATACTCTTGGAGATACGTCGGGTATTTTAATGGTTCAAATTTGCCTGGGTGTCTTGAGTGAGGTGGAGGTGGCGGAGGTCCCTTCTTGAGCTGCGAGAACGTGGAAGCAGAAGGTTCGGCTGGCCGTGGTTGTAACGATGGCCCGAGATTGGGCTCAATAGGTTGCGGTATGAGTGGAGAATCAAGTCCAATCACGTCTTTCATGGTAGCAGTGGTGAGAGAATGTCCGGCAACGGCACCTGGTTGACCTGGATCTGTTGGAGGAAAAGGATATCCATTTGATTGACCTGTAGCTCCGACCAAATCGTTCAAGCCTGTCAATAAATCTGGTGGTGATTTTCGCGGCGGTCGTACATCTGGTACTAGAGTTCTTGTTGTGCTATCAAATCGGACTGGATTCGGAGGCACTTGCTTCCCTTTGATTGGATCTGAAAAGCTGGGCTTCTCACCAGGTAAGTTTGTTGTACTACTGTCAGTCTCCGGATCTTGCGAACGGCCCAATTTGTCCTTATCTTTCCCTTTTCTGCCCATTGTATTCCATGCCAGGGTAGCAGCTTTATTCGTTATAGGATTCTCGTCCTTCTTTCTGTTTGAACGAGAACTTTTGCTTTTCTTGGAATCGCCGGATCTTAATGTTTGAAGCATTGTTCTTCCTCCTTTTTCGGGACTAGGACTTCTTGATTCTTTCGACATTTTATGTTGTGGTGCAGGGACTGATGGATGAGATGTTGGAGCGGGCGGCCTCGATGATGCTGTTGGCAATGCAATCGAAGAACTTGACATACTTCTACCACCGCCAACAACCGCCATCTCCGAACTATTTTTGGGGGCCATCGAAGGTCGTTGGGGTAAGGGAGGCGGGGTAGGTTTCGGCAGACCATCGTAATTGACCGCGGGGATTGTACCCTCCCCGATTGTATTACTCATACCTGTTATAGCAGGGCGTTGAGAATCCGAGGAAGCGCGTGAAGACTTCAAAAATGATTTGAGCCTTCCACTCCCACTGCCGCTGCTAGTTTCTCCCGGTGGTGTCTTCTCTCCGTTGTTCTTCTCTTCCCGTGAGGCTTTGAGCGCTTCCAGTAAATCGACACGTTCTTTGCATTGCATTTCCATCGACCTCAGACTATCCTTCAAAGCCTTTTCGGTTTCTGATTTGGGTGTATAGCCTGCGGGAACTCGATATGCATTATGATAATAGATTTGATCGAGAGCCGAGCGCCATGATCGTAAAGCTTCTGCCTCATTACCCTGTGTAGAAATAGAGTCGTTAGTACTTTCTCTTTCCAACATCGAGATTCTCCGGATGAAGATGCATGTCTATACTAACCTGCCCTTCGAAATATACAGCCGTCGAACATATTAAATAACACTCATCGTATGTCTTTTGCAGCGATGAAGATTGCTTGCTTCGCATCATGACAAAGATTCTCGTTCTTGCGATAGTTCATTAATATCGTCGTTGGTAGAGATTGTATTCGAGAGTACGAGTATTTAATCAAGAATAATGGTACAGTTGTTGATATTGTGAGGTCTCGTGTGTCTCTGGTCGTTCGCAATCGATAAGTGATATGTCCGATGTAGAAGTTTAAATCATGTGTTTCCCTTTGCGGATAAGGCTCGAGGGTGTGACGTAGGTAAGATGCGAATGTTGGGGACCGGATTTTCCAGATGGATTTTAATTATTGTTGTTGTGAGTATGATTACCTTTGAACACCACTCATCTATTGCTCTCTACCTGAGTAGTTTGACTCGAGAATAGACTCGAATAGACTCGAAAAATTATAGATATAAAAAGTTGAGAAATTATTCACATCTACTCGTACTCGCGGTTGTTTGTTGGTTGGTACCTACTTGTATACTTGTATCCATCAAGATTGATTCATGCCAGCATGCCAGGAAAATCCTAAAGAACAATGGCGCCAATGTTCATGTACGAGGATCAATTTAGGGTTGCATTGAGTGGGCTATCGTTGCCGATCTTACGATATCTGACGATAGAGGGGCATGGACGGCGGCCCCCAAGAGAGATATCAGACTCTCTTCCTTCTACTCGAGTACACACTTTATGGCACTTTACAACAGAAGAGATCATCGGGATTTCATTGGTAGAAGCTGATATTCAGTACATCAATCAATTCCTCCAACAAACTCGAATTCTCCCTCATTCTTGCCCAGATTGATTCCCAACGACAATTGTCATTCTTCGTACGAAGGACTCCATCAAAGCAAGGTTATATTTAGTTCACAGGGGGTCTCGGCACCGGTATATCGTAGAACCTGGAAGGATTACGAGCATCAGCAGCGCGTCGACCTTACTCAAATAGGTGTAAAATACGTTACGCTAGTAAAATCCCATTTCCATATCACCATCTTTATCAAGTTGGAATGTCCGGGTTTCACCAGTTCAATTCGTGATCATCAACCGCAGTCTTACTTTGACCGATTGATTTCGTTGAACATCTACCTACTAGGTTAACATCAGGTTGCGATAAAGATTGTATAATCATGGATGTCTCCTGACAGAAAACAATGGATTATTACTAAGATGATCCGGATATCATCTACGATAGAAAGTAATCGGCTCGCAGTGTATCCACTCGAAGTCCGCTGACGCAAAACAACAGACTGCGACATACCAGGTATTTTAGAAGGACAATAGTTCGTAACCGAAGCATTCCCGCTCTCTGATAAAGCTCTATATGTATGCACTTGGCGAGTCTTGTCTCCAAAAATGTTTGTCAGGTATAGAATCTCGAGATAATTACAAGCTGTGTTCTCCCTATGATGTCACGCTCTTTGACCATGGTACCAACCTCTCTCGTAGATGCTCTTTTGAGTCTCCTCGGCAAGCTTTTCCGACATCTTCATTTAGTCGATTAATCCACGATAAAGCACCACGTTGGCGCGTGAAGAGGTTGTCGAGCCGTTTACCCCTTTGTTGGTGGTGAAATATCAGGGAGCGCTGTGGCCTGGGGTACAAGCTATGTATACTTTCAAGCATGCTTTAACATGTACCTGCCTAGTAGTATATAGCATGTCTATCACCACATACCAGCTGTTATTACAATACATTGCATGTAGCCATCCAATGTGCATTAGAGTTGTCAATGATGTACCCTACTAGACAGATGGGAGGATTTGTAAAGGAGGAAAAGACTAGACCTGTGATGTATCT